AATGGAACCTTGGGGAAAGTGGGATGGAAAAGAGAGGGTGAGAAACTAAGAGCTGTTGTGACGGGGCAATTAACTAGTAGACGTGGACTGGAAGTACTGACGATGGGGCTGGAAGATGATATTGAGGCTAAAACTTGGACACCCAGGATATCAGATGACAAGCCTGACTCGGTTATTCCACCAGGGCCGGCTGATGATGCGACTAGAGTAAGTGGTGTTGAGGCCCCAGACGTCAAACTGCTTGTAGCTCGCCTCAAACCAGCATCGATTCTATGATCATTGCTGGTTAAATTCAATCCATCTGAATCTGCTTGCTGATCGCAATTGCTCAGTTGTGTCGGCATAAAATTGCCAGAGTCAAAAGGGCCGGGTAGCAAAGAAGAAGATAAAGCTTGGGCATCTGAAAGCGCTACTGATGACTCTGGCTGGGTCGGTTGTGAGGAGCCATGACGTGCTTTGCAATTGCGGCGACGTAAAGAGCGTGATCTGGATCTGGTTCGTGAGGCAAGTTTAGAAGGAGATCTAGACAGAGAAACTGGAGAAACTGACGCTCCCAATGAACAATAGCTAGATGGCGCCGGTTGAGGAGAAACAAGTGATGGCACTGGCTCGGCAACGCCAATAAGAGAACAGGGCGTTCCAGCACGTGATGTGTCTAATCGACTACTGGCTATTGAGTTTCCGCTGGCGGCCGAAGCTAGAGCTTCGAATGAGGGCAAAATGCCATCAAACCGACTACCAAGCACGGAAGCCTGAGATACGGGAAAAGGGAGTTTTCCAAGGCCAGAGGTTGAGAGGCAAGCCAGGCCACCTGAACCAAACACATATGGCCCCTGTAGTTGGCCTGACTCTTCGTGGAGCTTAGCCAAGTGAACCAGGCTGCTAAAGGATGGCAAGTTAGCCGATTCTGCGAACCGAGCAAAAGCGACCTTTGGTGAAGCAGGCGATCGGGTACTTGATTCAATGTCATCAGTTCGGGACAGCATCAATGCTGCTGGATGTGGGTATGGAGAAATCGACGGTGCAGAT